AAAAAAAAAAAAAAAAAAAAAAAACATACTTAATCAAATGATATGCATACTTTTAACTCAAATGTCATAAACTAAAATGGACAAAATTTCATTTTAGGTCCGTTTACTTGTCTAAGGTCATTTTTTGATACACTAACTTTCTCATTATCAAAAACAACACGTTATGTTACAATTTGTATCATTTTTGAGACATTGATCCCAAAAAAATAACGTACTACATACTATTTTTGATAATATAAAAGTTCGTGTACCAAAAAAAAAAAGACTCTAAACAAATAAACAAACCAATAGTGAATTTTTGCCATTTAAAAACCAACATAAATAATAAAAAAAGTAAATATACATAAAAACTTAAAAATAGAAATAAAAAAAAGTACATATAATTAGTCTGAACAAAACAGTGACAGGGCAGGTAGAAGAATTGAATTCTTGATTGAAAGCTCGACATGGCCATAAATGGCCTTACCTGTGTAAGCCTGTGGTACAGGGGACGAATGATGGAGGGCATGGTAGCGGGTAAAAAGGTAATTTCCATGGAAGCATTTGTGTATGCTGTAGAAAAGTGGCTCTGAGACCGCCACGTGAAGCACAAGCGCCGCCGTGAATCCGCCTTTGTTCCACAGAGGTAAAGCTTCAAACTTTGGTGACATCAAAGCTGCTACGATGGCTTGTAGTAAAATAAAGTTATCCCTGGTTAAAAAAAAAAAAAATGTTGACCAAAAACAGGTTAAAAAAGTTGAAAGAAAAAGGTTGAATTTCCAATTATGATTAAAATTACACGCACTCACACACACCCATACGGGTGTGTGTTGATCCAACTGTACTAAACCCCGTGTAGGCACGAAGGAATATTCCTAACTATACCTTCTTTTTTTCTTTCTTCAAGAAAAAAAGAATGTGAAAAAAATTATAACTCGCATTCTATTTTGCTCATTCAAAATAAGTTCGATCCTACTATCCACACGGGACTTATCACTTTCGAATTACACATTCACACACTCGCACACACCCATGTGGGTATGTGTTGATCTACAATAATAAATCTCAACTCAAAGTTATAACAAGAGATTGGTGAGTGTGTACCAATTCCATTCTTGGTCAATCTGTTTGAAATCGACGCCTTTCTTGACGATCAAGCGGTTGCGAGTGAGGAAAAGCATGTTGCTGTAAGAAGTCCATAGTTGGTACAACATTAGCCTTAGCATACAAATGATGAAAATGTGAAGGCACCAAGTGTCTTTCATGGCTTCCTCTTGATAGTATCTTGAATACAATGCTTTGGCTAGAAACACACCATATAGAAGACTCTGCCCACAAAAAAATAAATTTTAAAAAAAAAAAAGAGAGATTAATAAGTTAATAACAATATGAATTTGATAATTTTGCATGAAACTTTTATTCAACTCAACAAGTAATGTACCTTGTAACCACCTAAAGCTTCCCAAGGCCAAGCAAACAACGGTGCAGCCATGTTGAAAAATTGAAAAAAAAAAATAAAAAAATTGTATATATATATTTTGAATAATAATATTCAAAGTGTTGTCTACTCTTTGGTTTCCCAAGAAAATGGAAAGAAAATAAAAGAAATGGGCTATTTTTTTTTTTATTTTTTTTTCAAGAATATGAAGTATTGGGAGAAAGCAAATATTATTGTGCTAGCTAGCTGTGAGTAGAGAGAGATGTGTGCCAATGTAGTGGAAAAGTAGTACTTTTGTAGCTATTGAGTGGTATTTATTGAGTGCAATATTGGAGCATTTATACGCACAGCTACGTGCCTAAATGGAAATAGGGCACAAAACAAACAAAGGATACAACTAACTAATTCTCATTTATTAAGGATCCTTAACCAGTGTAAATTCTGTAAATTGGATCCACGTTTTGCATCCAAAGACCAACTTGATTCTGTATTTAAGTACACTTCAATAGTTCCACGATGTTGCAATTTGGAAAATTTGCTAAACAAATTGCTGACCTATAGTTATTGTAGGCACGGTTTTTTATTTAATAATCTCCATGATCACGAACATAAATGAATTTAATATAAATGTATGATAGATCGACCTATTTGAACGTTAGTTCGCTTCACAAAAGTATTTGTATCATTGAGCTATATTCAGCTTGTTCTATGCTTATCTTGGTAACCTCTCCACGAATTTTATTTTAATTCATAAATTGAACATACTTTTTTTTTTAGAAATGGACACGAAGAACTATTGATTTCATGATGGATTGGAATCATGTGATTGACATGTGCATATGCAAGTTATTTCAATTTCAATTGATCATATCATTTTCTTGTCTAGCCAATTAAATGGTATAATACAATTTATTCAAATAAAGTTGGCCAAGACGTCTCACACAATTTGTTGCAATTTGAACATGTTATTGAGTTGGATTGGACCTTACTTATAAGTCGTTGGTTGGGGGGTTTAAATGCATTCAATTCTCCAACAATATTGCCAGTGTTTGATATTTGAGGCTGTTATAAATACGGGGAATATAAAGAACACAATGTATAAAAACCGGAACAATTAAAATCTGCTTTCTTTCTTCACTTTTCGTTCACTCAATCATATGTACTGAAATGAACTACAATTGCTGCCTTTTATAAGCAAACATGGCACATTTACCAATGTACATACTAATATAATAATGTTAGGATAATGTTTATTGGTAAATTCCAATAATCATAACACTCCCCCTTGGAATTACCAATATTAAATGTGCGTTTATGCTGCCTCGTTAAAAACCTTATCTGGAAAAACCCTGTGGGAAAAAAACCGAGATAAGGAAAA